ATGATCTTGGATTTGATCCACTGGGGGATGGGGAGCCAGTGGAGCCAAACGAGAATGGGGGAGTGATAGGCCCTCGGAGCCTGTGCTGGAGAGAACCTGGACTGCAGAGTTCTGAGTGGTCTGCAGTTTGTATAGGGAGGAACTGGAGAGTTTGTGTCTGTACTTCACCATTCACTCTGATCATGAGATCCGCTTGATGTCTGCTCGTCAGCAGTGGCTGCAGGGTTCCTCAGCCCTGTAGCAACACTCCACTTTGTAACCAAAAATAAAAGTTTTAATTAAAATTGTTAAATAAGACAGTTAAGCCCAACATTTTTAATGTTTCTATTTCTGCATCATGTCAGTGAAGTTGCAGAAGCAACAGAGTACTCTCACAGTACATTACACAGTAATGTCACCACTGAAGTGCTGTGGGACACTACCTCACGTGAAGGGCACTATACAAGTGCAAGTTGTTGTTGTAACATTGCCACTGACAAATCCCATTAAAGTCTCGAAATGCTTTAAAGAGATGGTGCAAAGACTGGGTGAAAAGATTAGGTCATCATGAGTGGAGGGTTCCAGAGGGTAACACAGTATTACTACTGTCTGATCAGCAATAGGGAAGCAGAGAAATCATTGAGGGTAGCTGCAGGGGTAGACTGGCTATATGGGAAATCGGGAAATTTCCTGAGTACGCCCATGAATGGTTCCTGAGGGCCCGTGTGATTGGCTCCCGATATTAACCAGCCTGTGCAGTCTAGTTTAGAAGTTCTATTTAAGTCCAACAAAGTTTTTAAGCACACAGAGGTTTTATGCGGAATTAGCCCTCGCACGTCTCAGCATCCCCATTTTACTTGATGATCCAGAGCCATTTCAGAGAGCCAGTCTGCCACTGGTGTCCAGCACGCAGCCAATTGAAACAGGATTCCTTCATTGAGAAATCCAAGTAGAAATTCCTTCCGATAAATGGATGAATGCCAAGCATGTCACCCCAACTCACAAGAACTCCGTTCTGAAAGTAAATTGCACTGGAAGGAATTCTTAAGAGCCAGTACAATGACTCCTTTGGATTCTTCCATTGAGGAATCCCATTTGAAATGTCTGGTGTTTTAAGACCGCAATGTCAACTAGTTCTAAAAAACAGAGCCAAGGAAAAACAGCTTATTCCAAGAATTGTCTAATTGAAGGGGAAAAAAGCTCAGTAAACAAGGAACAGATGTCTTCTCTGTACATGACCAGAAATGATAGAATCATGACCAACTGTACAAATGCCTGAGTCATTTGTATGTCTTCCAAAGTCGATAGAATGATACCTCACGTTTATTACTCAATCCATGTTCAGTTCCCAACTCATCACTCTTCACCCCATCCCATAGCATAGAAACCATTGGGAGCATTTCATCAACCAGATACCTTGTGGCATCATGTAGCGTATTGGTTAGCACGCTTATCTCGCAAGCATGAGGATCCAAGTTCAATTCCTGGGAAGGGGCGAAACTTTAGGCAAATTTCCTTACTCCAAATGCCTGTTTACCTTGCAATAAGTTAGTTGTTAGTCAATTGGCAGATCGCTTTCCGGGGGTAATAACCCTTCAAAAAATAATTTGGCCACTCAATCCATGACTGTTTGTGGGACACTGCTGTGTGCAATTGGCTGCTGCGTTTTGCCCACAAAATACACTCAATTCACTTTACAGTATATTCTGTGAATTGCTTTGAGACGCCTCAACGAAGAGATAAGGTTCTGTATCACATGCAAGGATTCTTATTATCTAGTTCTTTTATCAAAGGAGTTAACACACCAGTGCTACAATATCCTTTTCTGTGTGAAAATATCTTCTGATCTCTCGTCTTGCTTGAGGTTTGTTGATTTTAAACATTCCTCTGGTGCTGCACTCAAGAGTCTATGTCAAGCAAATCTATGCCTCTCATCATTTTAAAGATCTAGATCATTGTCATCTTCAGTTCTCTTCTAATTATAGCAAGTTCAATGCAGTAAATCTCATAAACTTAGAACCCAAAGTCCACAAAATCATCCTTACTGATCATCTTAAACCTCTGCCAATCCATTTAAAAGTAAGCTGACCAAACTTGCGCACAATATTGCAAAACGCTAAAATAATGCCTTTGAATTTACAAAGTCAAATCTCGTTGATTTGACTCCATGAAAGTTGAAAATGAAATTAGCAACCAAGCAGAATTCTGGCAAGACAGCTTCAGACAATTCCTTCAAGATTTATTATTTGTGAATCCTTTTACAGGTCAAACAGATTTAGGCAAAATTATTGCATCAATTATGCACAGATTAAAAGAATGTAGGATGTTCTTCTTTAGTATTTTAAGATTGAAGAATGCTCATGCAGGATAATGTTATTATGTTGTGTCCAGAAGGTGAGATGGTACATTGTGTTATCCGTTTGAAGATGCAATACTGAAAACAGTGCAAACATCCTTGCTAGAGTTGAGTATTCTATTCTGCTATCAATATACATTAGAAGGAGGGAATTGCGTGGTCAGAACCATCTGGCTGTTCCCAAAAAAATCTTGTGAATTAAAATACATCTGACATTTAAAACAGCCAAAACCAACAAAAAGACTAGTCAACACAATGACCTTTCTTAAGATGTTCAGGCTCTGGAACTCCCTTCCTCTCTCCCTTCGCCTATTTTCAGGTCTCGGCTGAAGATCTTTCTTTTCGACCGCGCCTTTGGTCACCTTCCTCCCCCTGGCTCGGTCCCAGGATCCGTTACTGTGAAGCGCTCTGAGATGCCGTCTGGCATGGAGGGCGCTATATAAATCCAAGTTGGTGTTGTTATGATGGACTCAAGGCATGTGCAGCTTGAGTCAAAACAGTTAAATGGAAGAATAATTCCTTAAATATTCAATATAATACATAATATGCTATCTATAATGAACACGGGAGCGGGGGTTGGGGAGATGGAGAAAGAAAGAGAGGATAAACCAAGGTTCTCTCTGCCTGTTATTCGGATGGACATTAAAAGATTCCATAACATTCAAAAAGTGAAGGAAATTTCTCAACAATCATCCAAATTTATTGCCCAACTGAAAGCAATCTCGATTGTTTTGGGGGACCTGAAGCAAATGGCTGTCTCGTTTACCTACATCATTACACTTGCCACTTACCAGGTAACATTTCTAAATAAGGTACTGTAAAAATGCAAATCCTCTTATCCCTATCGTGTGTGAGTCTGGCTCAGTTGATAGCATTCTCGCCTCCGAGTCAGAAGGTTCCAGGTTCAAGCTCCACATCGAGAATTGAACTGACATTGTCCAAGCTGACACTCCAATGCAGTGCTAATGGAGTGCTGATAATGCAATACAGCCCTCCATAGACTTGCTCTTCCCTACCTCTGCGAACTCCTAACCCCCTACCATCCTGCTCGCTCCCCCCCACTCAGAGGGCTCCGGCCTACTTCACTTCCCCGACCTCGCTCACCCCACTATTGGCAGGTGGGCCTTCTGCCACTCTACCCCCACCTTCTGGAACTCCATCCTGCAGTCCCTCCGCCTCGCCTCCTCCGTTGCCTCCTTCAAGACCTATCTCAAGACACCCCCTCTTCCGCAGTGCTTTCGATTTCCCTGCTTACCCCCCTGCCCGCCACCCTCCCCAACCCCCAGCTTGGGTCCAAAACTCTTCTGCCCAGCGCCTTGGAACATCCCCCCGATGTGAAAGCGCTATACAAATGTAATTTTGTTGTTGTTGTAATTGTTTTCCAAGGTGCCGCCCTTTGGAGAATACGTTAAATCAAGGTCCTGTCTGCCTGTTCAAGTGGACGTTAAAGATCCCGTGGCACTACTCAAAAACAGAAGGAGGTTTCTCCCAGTGTCCTGGCCAGCAATTCCCCAATAAATTTGGTTATTCACTTAATGGCTCTTTGTGGGACATTGCTGTGCTCAACTAGGCTGCCTCATTCACCTACAAATACACTAGTCACTGTACTTTACTGTAACATCCTGTGAAGGGCTTTAAGACATCCTCCTGAAAAGGCACAATAACAAAGGCAAGGATTATCATTATTTAAACTCTTGATCAGTTTCCCTTTAAAAAACTTCTGATTGTTTCTACATCCACCCCTTGAGGCAGCGATTCCAGATTTTCCATATTTGTGTCAAAATGGGCTTTCCAAATTCACGTTTAAGCAGTTGAAGTACAATTTTAAAATTATGTCTTGTTCATTTGGATCTTTCAATAAGAGGAGTCATTTTTCCATTTAGTTTGCCAATTCCTTTAAGCACGTTAATCAGATCATCCCTTCACTTCAGTCAAAGGAATGTAACTAAATCCAGCCTCTCATCATAGCGTCACCCTTCAATCCAGGGATGAATCTGGTAAATTGCCTATTGAATGCCCTCCAAGGCCACTATATTCTTCCAAAGGTTCTTCCAAAAAATCAGCACAAAAAGGTCACAGTGATGACTTCATAACAATATGCTTTATGAAAAAGAAATGTATTCAGATGTTAAAAAAATGATTTGCAGTCTACGATTTACCAACCAGACTTTGGGGGTTGGTAGGTGGACGGGTAATAATAAAATTTTACATTACAAAATAACATCGCCAAGGCTGCTAAATTTACCAAGGATCAGAGAATCACACGGTTATCCTTCCCAAATATTAGTTAAGCTTAGTCGGTAGCATTCTTGCTTCTGTGTCAGAGGCTGGGTGTTCAGACCCAACTGGACTTGAACTCACAGTTCAGACTGACACTCCAGTACAGTCCTCGGAAACACTGCACTACAGATGTGCCATCTATCGGCTGAAATGCTAAACCAAAGCCCCATCTGCCTTTTCAGATGGACTCTAAAGATCATGTGGTACTGTTCAAAACATTATGTTCTGGCCACCAACCTTCCAGATAAGTTGGTCAATTGCTTCATGAATGTTTGTGGAATCTTGCTGCGGCAATTCACTTGAGACAGTGGAGCTGCTAAATCAAATAAAAGGGTACAGGTACTTTTAACTAAACAATGAAGTAAAAATACTTGCATAGCAAATTCCACATGCAGTGAATTTATTTTTCAACGTGTTCAAAAACAACAAGCTCGAAGGAAAACACAGTGATGGTGGTTATGGACACAAGCAATATGTAACCATAGACAAGCTTTGTATCCAGTGCTTTGTACAATAAGTGCTGCTCTGAACACCATGACTGTGTACAGCATACTCATGCGGTAGACGATTAACCTGGCGGCCAATCCATTTGGCGTCCGCCACAGATGTGGAGATGAATGTGGTAAACAGACTGACCACCGTGCACCCCTTCGTTTAGGACAAGCCGGTATCCCTTGCTTAAGCCCAAGTCCTGTGCACACTTTTTACCGATGATCATCAAATGCCCCAGCAGCTGCAAAGCAATAAAAATGTGAGTAAAACTTTGATCGACCAACAACAACTTGCATTTATATAGTACCCCAAACGCAGGGTAGTGTCCCAGAGCGCTTGATAGTGGCGGAAAACGACGCTGAGCCAGGAGGAAGGAGAGGGTGGAGATAATCATAGGCAATGTCGAAGAGGACATTCTTCAGGAGCGATAATAATAATAAGAATCCTTGCATTTGATATAGCGCTTTTCATGTCAGGAGGACATCCCAAAGTGCTTCACAGAACACACTGTAAAGTGAATTGACTGTATATTTGTGGGCGAACGCGGCAGCCAATTTCGCAGAGCAATGTCCCACAAACAGTCGTAGATTGAAAATGACCAATTTATTATTGGTTTTGGTTTTGGAGGGATTATTATTAGGCTCTGTGTGGAGTAAGGAAACTTGCCCAAGGTTTCGCCCTCTGCCTGGAATTGAACTCAGGTCTCTCACTTGCAAAGCGAGTGCTCTAACCACTGAGCTACAGGACTCCACTCCGTATACTCACCAGTAGTAAACTCCATATCCCGATCACCCTAGTCCTAGCCAGGCTTCACTGGCTCCCTGTCACCAAATGGATCGATTTCAAGATCCTCGGACTCGTTTTCATATCCCTTCATTCCTTCTTCATTCTGAAGATAGGGAAGGAAGGGGCAAGGCAGATGGATGGAGGAAGAGTTTTCCAGAGCTTCTGGACGTAGTGGCTGAAAGCGGAGCCACCGATAGTGGGATAGAGGGCATAGCAAGAATAACAACTTGCATTTATACAGCACCCTTTACGCAGGGTATCGTCCCGGAGCGCTTCACAGTGGGGGAGTCTGACAAAGAGCACAAGGGACATGTAGGAGGCCAGAGCCAGTCGAGAGGAGGCGGCGGGTTATGGGTCAGGGGGTAAACAGGTCAGATAGGTAGGGAGGTGCCAAGGTATGAAGGGATATGAAAACGAGTCTGAGGATCTTGAAATCGATCCATTCGGTGACAGGGAGCCAGTGAAGCCTGGCTAGGACTAGGGTGATCGGGGTATGGAGTTTACTACTGGTGAGTATACGGGCAAGGGAGTTTTGGATCAGCTGGATTTTGTGGATGGGGGAGCTGGGGAGACCGGCGAGGAAGGCAGTCGAGTAGTCCAGACAGGCAAGGTACGGTGTGTTGTTGGGTCCACCATAGAATGAATACAAGTTTGGCTCAAGGGAGTGTTGGCACACAGTTCAATTCAATGCCTCAATTCTGTTAGATTCAGTCCTCACTCAAAGCCCATGCAACCATTTCCAGTCATGGCCATGGAAAAGGATCAGGAGCTGATTCTCTTCCCTCCTCACCTACTAACCCACAACAACAACAAGATTCCATTTATTGAGCGCCTTTCACGTTGGGAGGATGTCCCAAGGCGCTGGACAGTTGGTTCGGGACCCGAGCAGGGGGGAAATGGTCAGGGTGAGGGAAGGGAGGGAGCGAGGAGGAGGTAGAGAGTCGAGAGGGGAGCTGAAGGCACGGTCAAAGAGAAAGGTCCTTGAGACTGGCCTTGAAGGAGGAAAGGGAGGAGGCGGCGAAGGCACTGGGGGATAGAGTTCCAGAGCCTCTGGGCTGAGAGGCTGAAGGCCCGGCCACCGATGGTAGGGCGGTTGGGGCGGGGGATGTGGAGCAGACCGGAGCCAGAGGAACGGAGGGTACGGGCAGGTAGGTAGGGGGATAGTAGGTCGAAGAGGTAGGAGCGAGCGAGGCCGTGAATGGCACAGCTGTCTACACTAACTCAGCATAGATAAAAAATCAAATCTGTAACCTAGTCTATATGATTTAGTGCAAACATTTCCAATTATACTCAGACAAGGTCCATTAATCTTAATCACTCTTAATGAGGTTATTCATTTACTCAATTTACAATTACTTTAATTTACAATTAAAATCAGCTTTTCCACCCTCTCTCTCCTTCACACTTTCATCTGCTTCAACAGTTTACTTTCTCCCTTTAACCCTTTCTACCATTTCCCAAAGTTACTGACTTACAGTAAGTATAAAAATCAAATTCATTCAGAAAATGAAATGCTCCTGAAATTAAATTAGCAAGGAGCAGGGGAAGGCACTTACATTTCTATAATATTACATTTCTATAATATTTCAAGTTGTAAAAATGTATTTTCTGAAAACTCTCCCATGCACCAAACCCACAGTGTGGACATAAACTGACCAGGGAAGTTTTTGCGCTCTCCAACAACAGCTGACACAGTATTGTATAGCTGATACAGTATAAAACATTTTAACAACCCTTGGCTAATACTGCAAGGATCCTATTATCAGACAGAATACTTCAAGTCACAATAAATAAGCTAGCTTCATAATTGCGCTGTAAAATATGAATCAAAATATTCCCACTCACTGGTGCATCGGACTCATCTGCGTCAGACAATTGGGCAATCGGTTTCTTTGGAACCACTAGGAAGTGTGTTGGAGCCTGTGGTGCAACATCATGAAAAGCAATGCACTGCAAAAAGAAAGTTCAATACGGACCGTTAACAAAATGGGCAAGCATCACCACTATCTCCTGTCATGCGAATAATTACACAGTAAACAAATTGCAGAGATTGAGGGAATCTTTTACTGCCCATGTTCGTTGGTAGTCCCAAAGCATAGAAAGTGCAACCCTATCTTTGGCATAAATTTAAATCCAAATACACTGAACACATCCTGGGGGTTATTCAACAATTGTCAGTACATTTACCAACATAACGACAAAACACTTAATTTTAATGGTATTTTCCTGAATTGCAGAATGTCCCAACTCTTTTGGAAATATTCAGCATGTTCATCCAGTTTCATCAGCTGGAGAACTTCCTTGTATGAGATGTAAACAGGATGAGCTTGGAAGAATCTAATCAGAGCATTGGCCGGCTAATTAACCACAGAGTGCATCACAGCTAAGCCTCGTGTCGGCTCAAGCGCACATTCCAGCGAATGTTGAATATAATTGTTATAATATCAAACACAGATTAGATAGCTTTCTTTTAGGAAATAACGTTGTGGGATACAGTACATAGGTAGTTCAGGACATATATGCATGTGACCGCCAGGAAGGCGGAAGGCGAACAGGATGGACCTTGGTTTTTTTTTCACCTCGCATTTCTTATGTTCTTATGTACAGGAATAAACTCGCCAGGACAGACTTACTAAATAAGCCACCAGAGGGAGGCAAACATCAGTTGGTTGCACTGTCTTACAGATCTATTTTTAATATTGAGCTGCCTTAAGTAGCCCTGATCCAGGCTACGCAAACATGATGTTCCCAAAAATAACCTCCCACAGCTAATTTTGGGAATGTCATGACTTCCCAAGTCTTCCCTCCACAAACTGCACATTATTCAGAACTCTGCAGCTCGTGTCCTCTTCCGCACCAAGCTCTGTGAGCCGATTACCCCGGTCCTCGCCCAGCTTCACTGGCTCCCCAGCCCCAGAGGATCTCAGTACTTTTAAAGTCCTTCAAGACCTTGGCCTGCTCCGTGTCACCTGAACACCTCACCATCTGCAGTCGGGCCTTCAGCCTTTCTGCTCCACCTTCTGGAAACCCTCCGCCTCGCTCCCTCATCTCCTTCCAGGCCTGTCTCAAGACCTTCCTCTTCGCTCGTGCTTTTGGTCACCCTCCCACCCCCTCGCCTTCCATGCCTCCTGGCTCCAACCCCCAGCTCGGGTGCAAACCCTTCATTGTCCAGTGCCTTCGGCCTTGCTCCCAACATGAAAGATGCTTATGAATGCAATTTGTTGTTGTTATGGAGTTAATAGATTGAAAACATGGGGAAAACTGGGAAAGCCAACGCAGGGTCACTGTAAACAAACAGGACCACTAGGGAGCAAAGTACTGCAATGCTACATTCAGCTTCTTGTAAAGCCGCCCTAACTACTTACAACTATCATTTTACAACCAGTGAAGTGCTCTTCACACAGAGTATAACAGTGGTTACACCCCCACATGTTCCCTAAACAACCCCCACGCACACGCGCTCCCCCCCCCGCCCGCTCCCCACCCCCCGCCCGCTCCCCACCCCCCCCGCCCGCTCCCCCCCCCACCCCATCCCCCACCCACGCGCTCCCCATCCCCCACGCACACGCTCCCCCCCCCGCCCGCTCCCCCCCCCCTCGCTCCCCACCCCGCCCGCTCCCCACCCCGCCCGCTCCCCACCCCCCGCCCGCTCCCGCTCCCCCCCCACCCCATCCCCCACCCACGCGCTCCCCATCCCCCACGCACACGCTCCCCCCCCCGCGCTCCCCACCCCCTCGCTCCCCCCCCCGCCCGCTCCCCCCCCTCGCTCCCCACCCCGCCCGCTCCCCACCCCGCCCGCTCCCACCCCGCCCGCTCCCCACCCCCCGCCCGCTCCCGCTCCCCACCCCGCCCGCTCCCCCCCCACCCCATCCCCCACCCACGCGCTCCCCATCCCCCACGCACACGCTCCCCCCCCGCGCTCCCCACCCCCTCGCTCCCCCCCCCCGCCCGCTCCCCCCGCCCCGCCCGCTCCCCCCGCCCCGCCCGCTCCCCCCGCCCCGCCCCCCCCCCCGCACTCCCCACCCCCACGCGCTCCCCACCCCCGCGCGCTCCCCCCCCCCCCCCCGCGCTCCCCCCCCCCCGCGCTCCCCATCCACACGGTCCCCCCCCACCGCCCGCTCCCCACCCCCCACGCGCTCCCACCCCCCCACACGCTCCCCCCCCCACACACACACACACACGCGCGGCCCCGCGCGCTGTAACGGCATTAAAACCCGAGTCACCGACAATCAGAAAACGGCATTAAAATGAACCCTATAAACACGCGCGCGCACCGACTGACCGACCGACTGACCGAGGGCTGAGCGGCCCCGGGCCTGTGAGTGTGTGTGTGTGAGTGTGTCCCTCCCTCCCGCCGCTCACTCCACCTGATCGTCCTCGTGGATGATTTTGGCGGGGATTTCCTTGCGAATGATTTTGCCGAAGATGGTGTCGCCGCCGGGTTTAGCGATCTGCGCTTTCCTGATCTCGTCCGCCATTGCCCCGCAGTCAGACAGACACAGAGCGGGAGCGGGAGGGGGAGGGGCGGCGCCTGGACCCGCCCCCCCCACCCCCCCGCCGAGAGCTGTCAATCAATGGTGTGATTGACAAGAGAGACCTCCCTCCGGTGCCGCTGCCAGAGGATTCATGTTTATAATAATGATGATAACAGTCATAATAATAATAATAATAATAATCCTTGCATTGCGATGCAGCGCCTTGTCTCGAAGCACTTCAACCACGAACCTGTAGCTCAGTGGTCGGCGCGCTCGCCTCGCAAGCGAGAGGACCCGGGTTCGATTCCCGGCCGGGGCAAAATGTTGGGCAAGTTTCCTTCCTCCGCACGCCTCTGTTTCCCCAGCAGCGAGTAGGAACCCGGTTGCTGGTCGATTGTCGGATCGCTTTACGGGAGTAATAATCCCTCCCCGCGAAAAAAATCATTCAATCCGCAACTGTTTGTGGGACGCTGCTGTGCTCAATTGGTTCCCATGTTTCGCCCACAAAATATACGGTCAATTCACTTTACAGTACGTTCTATGAAGAGCTTTGAGATGTCTCAACTACATGATGAGTCGCTATATCAAATGCAAGGATTATCATTACTAAACAGCAACAAGTTATAATAATAATAATCCTTGCATTTGATATAGCGCTTTTCACGTCGGGAGGACGTCCCAAAGCGCTTCACAGAACACACTGTAAAGTGAATTGACTGTATATTTGTGGGCGAACACGGCAGCCAATTGCGCACAGCAATGTCCCACAAACAGTCGTAGATTGAAAATGACCAATTTATTATTGTTTTTGGTTTTGGAGGGATTATTATTTGGCATTTATACAGCGCCTTTCACGCCTTGAGAGTGTTCAAATGTCAAGAGTTTTCACCCAAGCTGGGGTTGGTTTGGGAGGGTTGGTGCTGAAGGAAGTGTTGGGGAAGACAACTGAAAACGCAGACAAAGAAGATCTTTGAAAAAACTATGAAATGCTTTGAGACAATTTGACTTAGTATACTCTGTATCAAATAACAATAACCCATACATTTCATATTACATTTGTCTTCTGCATTTCGCTCACAAAAATGTACTTTACAGTATATTCTTGAAGCGCTTTGAACTGTCTCGAAGACGTGATAAGGCACTATATTAAATGCAAGGAATATTACATAGCTACTCTAATGTATAATAATAATCCTTGCATTTGATATAGATAACTGGAATTTCTCAATGTATTAAACATTACAGCAGAATTTGTTCTCTGCCATTTGGCTAATTGTATCAATATTTATACTAACAGCTTTAATTCTGTTCTGAATCAGTCATTTTTTAAAATATTCCTGAGCAATTGTAGTGGGTGTCTTGTCTACGAAACAACAATAACTTGCATTTATATAGCGCCCCTCAAGCAGGGTGGTGTCCCAGTGCGCTTACAAAAGGGGAACAGGGAAAAAGTGGAGGCAAAGTGGCTAAAAGTCTGACCCTTGAAGGTGGGATGGAGGGGGCAAGAACCATGTAGGAGATTTGAGTTTGCAGAGTAAAGGAAGTGAAGAACAGCAGAGCAGGGCTGGAGTACATTGCAGAGGTCAGGTTGGCTGAGACCATGGAGGGATTTAAAGGTGAATAGGAACAGCAACAACAACTTGCATTTATATAGCAGCCTTCACACAGGGTAGCATCTCAAGAGTGCTAAAGACCTTGAAGTTGATCTACTGCAGAACACGGAGTCAGGGAACAAGCGGAGGTTGGGGAGGATGGGGAATCGCCATCATTTCAACGATGGAGCTTCGATTTTAAATAAGCTGCCCAGATCTACATTAGGACATGGATGTCGAATATTAGACATCTCTGCACCATCTGCTTCAAAATAAGGTGACTATGCATCCCGATTTCTGGAGAAGTCCCCGGATGAGGTATTGTGTCCCTGACCAAATTTGCCCAGTTTTGAGTTCAGCAACAAACTGAGCAACAACAATAACATTCGAAACAGATACACTCATCACCCATTAATCCAACAAGCTTCTCCAGTAGCTGCCAGCCTCAGGAATCGTGATGAGTTCAATTTATACACACATATATATATATATATGCGTTTCGCCCACACAATACGGTCAATTCACTTTACAGTATATTTCTGTGAAGCGCTTTGAGACGTCTCGAAGATGTGATAAGGCGCTGTATCGAAATGCAAGGATCATTAGTAGCAGTAGTAGTAGTTATCATCATCGTGCGCGCGTGCGTACGTGTGCGTGGATTTGATCGCCCTACGCAAGATCGAGTCAAAAGCAGTCAGCAAAGAAAAAAACCCAGAGCCTTGGGATCTCAAGAGCTTCAACTACCAGGAAAATCAGCCAAATCGAAATGGCGATTTGTGTGACTGTGGTGTGTCCTACGGCGCAACCTGTACAGTGGGAGGGGCGGAGCTTGTGACGTACGAAGGACATGGAGCAGCGCTGTCAGGTGAGAGGCGCTGCCATGGCAACTGCCCCGGTTACCAGCCCCCGGGAGCTGACTGGGGGGGAGATCGAAAGCGCAGTCAAAGAGGAGGGTCTTGAGATGGGTCTTGAAAGTGGTGAGGGAGGGGGCGAGGGGCAGGGGCTGTGGGATGGAGTTCCACAGGGTGGGGGCAGAGTGGTGGAAGGCCCTCCTGCTGATAGTGGGGCGGGGGAGGTGCCCGCTGAGCAGGTTGGTGGGGGGTTAGGAGGTCGGAGAGGTGGGGGGAGCGAGACCATGGAGGGCTGTGAAGGTGAGCACCAGGATGTTGAACTGTATCCCCTGTGTGATGGGAAGCCAGTGGAGTCGGGCGAGGATGGGGCTGATAGGGTCGCGGAGCCTCGTGCGGGAGAGCACACGGGCTGTAGGGTTCTGGATGATCTGCAGCCTATGGAGGGAGGAGGTGGGGAGGCCGACAAGCAGGGAGTTTGCATAGTGAAGCCTCGATGTAATGAAGGTGTGTATGAGGGTTTCGGTGGCCTGCGATATGAGACAGTGGCAGAGCCGGGCAACGTTGTGGAGACGGGAATGCAGAGTGGTTCGTGGTGCAGATGTGGGGTAGAAAGGACAGTTGAGGGTCAAACAAGACCCCAAGGTTCTGGATGGCTCAGTGAGGTGGAGTGTGCAACCATGGATGGTGATGCTGTCAGCGCCTGAGGTGAGGAGGCACTGACGGGAGTCAATCAGGCTTGTTGTTGTTCAGCTGAAGTTAGCTCTCATCCAGGACTTGATGTCTGACAGACATTCTGTCAGGACAGCAGTGGGTCCTGGAGTCAAGGGTGGAGGCAGAGAGGTAGAGTTGAGTATCATTGCATACAATGAGACCCCATGTCTGTGGATGATGTCACCAAGAGGGAGCATAGAGATATTGAAGGGGACCAAGGACAGAGCCCTAAGGAACACCGCACGAGACGGTGTGGGGGCTGGAGGAGAAATCGTTTGTGGAGGTGAAGTGGAGGTGGTGTGAGAGGTAGGATCTGAACCAGTCAAGGAAAGAGCCGTGAAGGTTGAGGTGATATCAAACGCAAGGATTATTATTGCCTTGGTGTGGTCACCTTCACACAGGTTCACAAATCACTCGGAGAATAATAATAAGGACTCCACTCAAAGGAGATTGATGTTCATTTAGTTCAAATGTGTCATCTACTTTGGTGCATGTTATTTTTACTTAATTCAGATACCCGCCCAAATTCTGCTACAGTGTTTACATTGTGTCCATGTGATTTTTGTACCATATTTTGGCACAAACTTCTGTTTTATGGACCAAGTTTAGCAGAAGTAGTGAGAATAGTCCTGTGGCTCAGTGGTTAGAGCACTCGCCTCGCAAGCGAGAGACCTGGGTTCGATTCCCGGCAGGGCGAAACCTTGGGCAAGTTTCCTTTCTCCACACGCCTGATAATAATCCCTCAAGAAAGAAAAACAATAATAAATTGGTCACTTCAATCCACGACTGTGTGGGACACTGCTGTGCACAATTGGCTGCAGCGTTTCGCCCACAAATATACTCAATTCACTTTACAGTATATTCTGTGAAGCACTTTGAGATGTCCAGATCAAATGCAAGGATTATTATTATTATTACGATTCTCCAGGTGTTTCTGAACTTTAGTGGAGACCTGTGAAATTTTTAAAAACCTTTAAAAAATTGACAGCAATTTGACACTCGTTAGTAGAAATTGACACATGCACAGAGCTTTGTTCTGCCTCAGGAGAGTGCTGTGTGGAGCCAACAGAATAATTATGTGGTCTCAGCTCGCATTGCTCCACTACAAGTGACTACTCAGATATGGCGCCTTTGCTAAGTAACTGAACCATAAATCGGTTTGTAATGTACCTCGCTCATCAATCACACTGGGAACATTTCTTTGCTATTGGCAGTGGTGCCAAAAGACACAGAATTATATTGTGTGGTTTATTATGAATTCAAAGAGAGTAATCAACCACATTTAGTAACTCCTGACATCTGGTTGAAAGAAGAAAACTTCGGGGAGCAGGAAGAATTGTATTTTTTTTGTTTAAATAATGCATAAAACTGCAACATATTAATATTACTTCATCATGAGTCAATGCTTACTTGCTTGCATTTTTTTTCTTTTCGGAAGGTATTGAACCTTTTCAGGACTTTACACCGAACAAGAAAGCTAATTTTCAGAGAAGATGATAAAGCCCTAGAAGGTAAAATAAATTGCCTGGATTAGGAATGTTGTTTATACAGCAAGTGTACAGTTACACCAAATGAGATAAAGTTATCACACCACAGAATGATATGAAATGTATTACCTATTTCAACAGGATTTACGTTGCATGTGTGTTTCATTGTGTTTTGAGGGTCAGGTTCGATCCCCAGCTTTCCTTTCTACCACACATCCGTTCCCTGACCAGGAACGCTTTTTTCCACCTCCGCCACATTGCCTGACTTCATCTGTACCTCACAACCTATGCAGCTGAAACCCTCATGCACGCCTTTGTCATTTCCCGGCTGGACTATTCCAATGCCCTCCTCGCTGGTCTTCCCAGCTCCACCATACACCAAATTCAGTTAATTCAAAACTCCACCATCCGGATACTCACCTGCACAAAACTCTGTACCCCCATCTCACCAGTCACTGCCACGCTCCACTGGCTCCCAATTACTGAACGGATCGACTTGAAGATCCTCTCACTCGTTTTCAAATCACTTAACTCCCTAACTATCCAACCTGCTTACTTCCCAATCCACCACCCGCTGCCTCCCCTTGGCTGGCTCCAGCCTCCTAACTATCCCTTGTGGCCTTCGCTCCACCATCAGTGACCATGCCTTCAACCACTACACCCTGAAACTCTGGAACTCTCTTCCTCAATCCTTCCGCCTTGCCCCATCCCTATCCATCTTCAAATCCCGCCTAAACTTTTTCCTTTTTGACCGTGCTTGACCCCCCTCCCTGTCCCCTTAACTCGTTGTCAGACTCCGTAATTTTAGAAAACTCATGTAATGACTGCTCATTTTTTAGAAAGTAAAATACTTTCTCCGAGCTTCTTTCTTCTTTCTTATCCTCCTCCACCTGCTCCTCTCTCCTCCGTCCCAGCTCCTCTCTTCCCCCCCAGCTCCTCTCTCCCCTCTCCCTGAGCTCCTCACTTCCCCAGCTCCTCTCTTCCCTACTCTCCCAGCTCCTCTCTCCCCCTTCCCCCAGTTCCTCTCTGCCTCCACTCCCCCAGCTCCTCTCAATGCCACTGAAGTTCAATACAGATAAATGCAAGGTACTGTCTACAGGAATTAAGCAAAGGAGGCACATCTACTCCACGTGTTTGGAGAATAATTTTAGAAAACTCGTGTGATAGACGTCTCACTTCTTAGTGAGTAAAATGGGATTGAACTTGGCTAGCAGGAAGCTGAAAGAGATTCAGGGGTGTTATTCAACTCATAGCTCACTATAGCAAAACACTATCATGCAACAATAATCTGTATAGGGCTCTGGTCAAGCCACAACTAAATTACTGCAAGCAGTTATGGTTATCACTCTCCCCTTAACTCATTGTCAGACTCCTCCCCTTGAAGTGCTCCGGGACACTACCCCGCATGAAGGGCGATGTATAAAAGCAAGTTGTTGTTGAGTGAGACTATATTTGGAGAATGTAATTTTAGAAAACTCATGTAATGACTACTCATTTTTAGGAAGTAAAATACTTTCTCCCAGCTTGTCTCTTAACCCCCCTCCCCCATCTCCTCTCTTCACCCCTCGCACTCCCCAGCTCCTTTCTCCGCCCCCTCCCTAAGCTCCTCTTGCCCCCCTCTCCCAGCTCCACTCTATCCCCTCCTCAGCTCCTCTCTCCCCCCTCCCCCAGCTCCTCTCTTACCCCTCCCACTCCCCAGCTGCTTTCTCCGCCCCTCCTCAAGCTCCTCACCCCCCCCCCCCTCCCCCAGCTCCACGCTCCCCCCACGCACCAGCTCCTCTTTCCCCCCCTTCCCTAGGCTCCTCTCTCCCCCCACTCACCTAGCCCCTCTCTTCCTCCCTCCCCTAGTTCCTGGTTCCCCCCTCCCCCAGCAAAACAGGTTCAATACAAATAAATGCAAGATACCGTCTACAGAATTAAGCAAAGGAGGCACATCTACTCCACGTGTTCGGAGAATAATTTTGGAAAACTCATGTAATAGACGTCTCACTTCTTAGAGAGTAAAATGGGAGTGAATGGCTAACAGGAAGCTGAAAGAGATTCAGGGGTGTTATTCAACTCATAGCTCACTGTAGTAAAACAGTATGATGCAGCAATAAGCAAGACAAATAGAATGCTGGACAATTTTGCCAGATCAGTTAAGTTCAGATCACCAGATTTAATACTTAATAATAATAATAATGATCCTTGCATTTGATATAGCGCTTTTCACATCTTCTCGACGTCTCAAAGCGCTTCATAGAATAGACTGTAAAGTGAATTGACCGTATATTTGTGGGCAAAACGCGGCAGCCAATTGCGCACAGCAGTGTCCCACAAACAGTCGTGGATTGAGAATGACCAATTTATTATTGTTTTGTTTTGGAGGGATTATTATTAGGTGTGTGGAGTAAGGAACTTGCCCAAGGTTTTGCCCTGCCTGGAATTGAACCCAGGTGTCTCGCTTGCAAGGCGAGTGCTCTAACCACTGAGCTACAGGACTCTACTGTAATCAATACAGTGCTCTGGTCAGGCCACACCTAGATTACTGCAAGCAGTTATGGTCATCGCGACATAAAGGAATCTCACCCTAGAGACAGCACTGAGGAGAGCAACATGGTTGATCGCATGTGTTAGAGGAATAAGCTATGAGCAAAGATTAGACAAGATCGGCCTCTTCAGTCTTGAAAAGAGACTTCTCACAGGTGGCCTTATAGAACAATATACAGTTTTAAAGGGGATTGAGAAAGTAAAGTCAGAACAGTACTTCAGAATACAATACAATGTAAAATTACATCTGTATAGCACCTAAAATGTCGGGAGGACATCCCAAGAATGCATCGAGAGAGCAAAACAAAAGGGTACAGGTTTAGGGTTGCAAAAGACAATTTAAGTACAGACACCAGGAAGTATTTCTTTATCCAGAGAGTAATTAAGAACTAGAACAAGTTACCAGGAAGGGTGGTTAAGGCAGCAATTTAAAAAAAACTTTGATACTGTTATTGGAGGATGGGATGGTGGGTGTTCTGGAAACATGAGATCAAATGAGTTGAAGGGCCTTCTTCATCCAAATCTCTTTTGTGATCTTGTGATTAGGTAAGCAGAGTGCGTCCCTCTGACATTCCACACGAGACAAAACATGTCCATGCATGCAGCATGTGGCATTCTCAGTAGGTTGATTTGGATACTCAAAAACATGGTGATGGGTTTTCATGTGTGTCAAAGCAAATAAAATCAATTCAGATTTCAAATCTACAAATACGTTTGATACCTTTAAAAATGTGGGTTGAGACTAACTGGTGTGTTTTACTGTCCAGCTGCAAAGCAGAAGATTAACTCTGAATTCAGGAAGAACCTTGCTGAGTCTTCTCCGGAGAAAATAACCCAGGTGTGTTCAACCTGACAACTTTTACACATAGCCATTGGCTCTGCTACTAAATACTCCTCTCAATGAAGCCTAATTAACATGGAACAGTTCATTACTAGGATGTGTCCAAGGCAATCATGCTTTCGGATACAGCGCTTTGGAACTTCCTCCTGACATGAAAGGCTCTATATAAATGTAATGTTGTATTGTATTGTACTTTCCAGTGTATTTTAAATGAAATGAGTACTATTATTGGATTAAACGTGTTGGTATTAGTAGGTGAGATACTGTAATGCTTTCCAGGAAGGCTTGCTTTCCAGTGAAAGAATCCCATTCTATTCAGTAGCACAACCTGATGACATCCTGTGATGGGAATCCAGGAATGTGAATGTTAATTTCAGGTGAATTTATACCACTTTTGCCAGGGTTATGTATGAATTCAGACTGGAAATCATAGACACCACTCCCTATATCCTACTGTTGCAAATAAAATTTGTTTTTTTCCAAAAAAAACTTCACAAATAATAAATAAATGTTTCCTGAAAAAGTAATTTCATTTGATTTGCATTTTACATATAAAACCCAAAACCTGGTAGAATTGGATTTTGAATAATATTCGGCGATGCTTTCTTTTTTTCCTAAATCCTGTACCTAAACAGGTAACTTGACATCTGATTGATGAGCCTTAATTTGGGAATTGTACCGCAGTAGATGGAAAATGTAAAACTCATTCGAGAAGGGAGAGATGTGGGAAAAAATACACTAGCATTTGTTGATTGGGTTGGGAGTAAGTTTGTTTTGTTGGGAGCAATTTTTCAACTGTTCCACATCTTTGTGTCTAACCTGTTGTATTTCTATGTAAATTGTTTTCTTTTCACAGTTACTTAAATTAGGCTCAGATGTAGAAGTTGTACTCAGAACATCAGTAATCCAAGGAGTTCACATAGACCATAACAAAATTTGTAAGTATCTTTTTGTGTTCTTTTTCTAGTTTTAATGTATTGGGGTTCAAAAATCAAAATTTGCTAACAGATTTGTTGAGTTAATGGCTCAGTTCCAGTTTGAGAATATCGGAATTGCAAATCCCAAGCCAAGGAAGTCCACAAAAGGGCCAAAGGCAGAACTACTCGCTGTTTGTGAATCTCGCACTCTGATATTAACATAGCAAATATGGTTTGATGTGGAAATCTTTGGCGGAAGCTGTGGTGAAAGCCTGAGGGAGAAGGGAATAGGAGTAGAAGGGTTAAGGAGATGGGAAATAAGAGGAAACAGCCTCATGTAAACTATAAACACTGGCACGAACTTGTTGGGCCATATCATTCTAAATAATTCTATATCATTCTATGTCTCTATTTAGATCCCATTGTGCAGGTTGACAACAAGGTTATTTCACAATCGTATTCTCTTATATTCCTTTATAAGGAACTCCATGGGAAAATTGGGTTAAATTTCAGCCATGGTTTAAAAATAAGATTGGCGCTGTTTGTTAAAATGCTTGTTTGTGCAGAGAAGTCAAATATTTTCTTTCCCGACAGTACTTCGACCCACAAAAGAAGTGCTTCAGGATAACGCACCTTTCCACGACACTCCAAGAAAAGATACCTAATACAGGCAACTCTTCAATCATGGACTGATTGTAGTATTTTATAATTGATGCCATTACCCCACTGAAGGAAACTGAACTGTTTTATCAGTTGTTGGAAATCGTTGTAAAACACTACATTGTACTTATATTTTAAAATACTGGAATGTGTTTGTGTACATCCTTAAGTACAGCCTTGATTGATAATGTGTGAAGTTATATTGGATTTTTAGAGAAACTAAATTCAAGATCCAGAGAGACATAGAATATTAATAATAATTCTTGCATTTTATTCAACGCCTTTCGTGTTGGGAGGTTGTGTCAAAGCTCTTCACAGAATTTACTGAAAACTGCATTTTATTGGCAAATACAAACTTTATACAGTATTGTTTTGCAGTGGCAATGAATTTGCAAAGCAGTTGCACTGATTAAATATCAGTGTGACATTTGATATGGATATTTTGGCTTTATACTAAAGTTGGGCCTACTAAGGTTGTCTCAAGAATTTCTTCCTTTCCCTTACTCCTCTTCATTCATTTGAGATGCTGGGTCTGCAGTCAATGTTGAAATGAATAGAAGATTTCCAGTAACTTGGTTGGTTCATCATTAGGCTTGTGACCAGATCTTTCTGGGTTCAAATATGAGAAGGTCTATTCATCCTATCACAGTTAAAAAAAAAAGGAACTAAAAAATACAACTAAACTAAAAGCTTAATTCAAATAGAAATTTACATTTATGTACCATCTTTCACATCAGGAGGACATCCCAAAGCGCTGGACAGTAATGGCTTGGCACCTGAGCTGGGGGTGGGAGCTGAGGTAGGTGGGGAGGGGAAAGATGACCAAAAGCGCAGTTAAAGATGTACGTCTTGAAATCGAATGAGAGGAGAATAAAGATAAGTGGAATTTTCCTATCTCCAAGGAGTTGAATCCTGGAAATGTAGACACGTCTTCAATCTTGTAAGACAAAGCTCTAATGAGTAGTAAGGTGCTAACTGGACTGTTACCCATTTACCTATTTAATGAACAGGTTATGTTGATCTAAGGTGAGACCAGTCTTCATTATTTTTCATCTCCTAAGGAACTATTTACTGATGTTCTGGCAAATCTGGAAAGAGACCATTTTCCAGCCGATGTTCAGTGAAGAAGACAGGGCAGTCTGTTCTGTGAAGCTCTCCAATCTAGATACACTTTCACCCAAAATGCCCCTCGATATTGGAGTGGGGGAAAGAAAACCCTCTGAGGGAGCTTTATAACGTAAGAATGTAAGAAATATCCCATTAACCCCTTTATACAAGTATAATTTGTTGTTGTTTATTGCTGGTGTTGAGTTAATGTGCAAGGGTATTACATTTCAGATAACGCATTGTTAGTAACATCTAATCCACTTGTATAATTTTAGTTTGTGGTTTCTTGCCTTTCATGAAGATTTTGATACATGTTATGCCTCTGTTTTAAATTTGTTTAAATAAATTAATTGGATGGGGAAAAAATAAAATCCATAGTTTTGTGGTGCCATTCACCAATCTTCTTTCGTCTACATTTGCCTATATTTGTTATTTGTTATTGTACTGTTAAATAAAAACGAGTTACTGTTATGAGGAGGGGCGGGGGAGCAAAATTAATGATACAATATTTTGAGAAATATCATGTTGACCATGGAATTGCCTGGATTTGAAAGTATTTTTAATTTCCACAATTTAAATCAAAGATGTGTAATATTTTCACATTGCCACATTTTGGGAATGATTGTTTCAATGAATAACCAGGCCTTTGAAAAGCTACCTGAAAGGTCATCCTGTTCATATAACTGGGTAATCTGTGATTTGTGATCTGTGATCTGTCACATCTTCGAGACATCTCAAAGCACTCCACAGAATATATTGTAAAGCAAATTGACTATATTTTGTGGGCCAAACGTGTCAGTCAATTGCGCACAGCAGTGTCCCACAAACAGTCATGGATTGGGTGACCAAATTATTATTGTATTTATTCTTGAGGATTATCAGGTGTGTGGAGTTAGGAAACTTGCCCAAGGTTTTGCCCTGCCGGTAATCGAACCCAGGTCTCTCACTTGCGAAGCGAGTGCTCTAACCATTGAGCTACAGGATTATCTGCTGATCCCACTATTTTGGCAATGCAGACCCCCAACAAAGAGTGGGTACAACCACCAGATTGACTGATACAGGGTGTTAGGAATTTACAGCACAGAAGAAGGCCATTCAGCCCCTTTTGTCTGTGCTGGTTCTTTGAAAGAGTGATTCTTTGTATGAAAAAATATTTTCTCATCTCACTTCTAACTACATTAGCTCTAATGTTAAGACTGGCCCCTTGTTTCAGATGCTTACACAGGTTCCAATGGTCCTATATACCTCACCCAACTAGTTATTCTTTATGGATGACCCTGGACAGTGAGTGTTAGCAGACTCTGCAATTGTAGGAGTGATTGACAGCCAAGCCTGATCTTGTCCTCACCCACTATCCACAGGCAGGAACTTTGACTACCTTTTTCTCCCTTATCCAAGAGCACTGAAGCAGAGTTTGCTGCCCCCTCTGTCGTATGCATGATGTATTCAAAATAATTGAACGGTTGTTTGAAGGCCATATTACAATACTCATTCGTGTATTCCAGGCTCACACTTCAATGCATACCTGGGGCAGCACTGCATTGTTGAAGGTGCCATCCTTTGGGTGAGTCATTGAACAAGGTCCCGTTTGCCTTTTCAGGGGGATGTTCAAAATCCTATGGTGCTACTCAAAGAGGAAAGGGAGTTTCTCCTGGTGACCTGGCCCAGCATTGTCAAACCATAGAGCCATGAACCACATGTGGCTCACAAAGGGTCTGGGTGTGGCTCACGGCCACCTCAGCTTCAGTAGAAATAATAATAATCCTTGCATTTGATATAGCGCTTTTCATGTCGGGAGGACATGTCTCAGATAATTCCTGCTGACAATTTGCTTGCAGAGACAATGTGCATGGCTATTTAAACGTGTTATATATATGCGGTAAAAAATTCTCTCATAAGGCTTTTCGAATATCCAATTGAAATAGTTGTCTAAAATAATATTCCACTGAATAATTGAATAAAACGAGGCTACTCAATTGGTATATGTTTTTTGAGTGGCAATATAATGACACAGATTTGTATAATAAACACACAATTCCCAGCAACTGTTTTCCATGTATTTAAATGAATATAACTTGAACTTCATAATGTCTCTACACTCTTCATATGTAAATGCATGTCAGTTAAATAATAGCCACTATACAAAGCGTCAATGACAAATTTATAAAGTTCCATTTGAAAATGACGAATTATTTGCGTAATCCCTGAAAGTTTGAATTGAATGGAATATTCTAAAACACCCAGTGTTTTTGACATATGTATACACAAATATGTAATGTCTTTGTTGTAGTGATTCCATTATAATTCCACTGTTGCTGAGTTTATCTTTGATTCACATCGTACATAATTGGATACTCACACATGCGACTAAGTATAAATCGACAACACTGCTGGTCAACAATTCCCTGATAAAATTAGTCATTCACTTCATAGGTGTTTGTGGGATATTGCTGTGCACAATTTGGCTGCCACGTTTTGCCTAAAAAATACACTACACTTTACAGTACATCCTAGAAATGCTTTGAGATGTCCTCCCAACGTGAAAGGTGTCATATCAATAGCAAGGATTATTAACGCTGACTGTTCAATGGGAGTTTACCCACTACCAGCCACAGCACCATCCTCTACAGCAGATGGCACTGTTGTGTGTCAAGTAACAGCATGTTCTGCCCCTTGAGTTGATCTCCCTGTGCAAACATAGGGTTATTTTTCACCTGGAAGTGATTCATTTGATGCCTCTTGATTTTGAATCACCCGGGGCCATGATTTCAACAGCTGTGTTCGTCATTGACATCATTCAGATCCTCTCAGTATATTTTCCTGAGAAGCGTGTAGGCATTCTGTAATAGTCTTAAAGTGGTCGTTCATTGAGAAAAGCAAGCTTCTTGTGAAGTTGTGATTGATTATTCCCCCCGACACACACACACACAAGCAATCATATTGAAGGCATAAAAAGGACATTTTTTTTACGGTCATTTTCCAATATCACATCAAATGTGTTGTTTTTTTGGTGAGCCAGGTGTCTGGCACATTCGGAAACCCATCACCATCCTTAAGAGTATCCAAACGAAACAGAGTTTTAGATGGGGAACCCAGGCACTGTGGTAATTTGTAACTCGAATGTTTAGTTCTGTTTTGAGCAATGCAGCAATATTGAATTTCACAATGTACAAAACAACACAAAATTGGTAATCTGTAATCCTCCTGGCATGAAAGGTGCTGTATAAATGCAATTTGTTGTTGTTGTAATTATTCCCTAAAATCCATTTCAGAAACTAGGGGGTAAAATTCCACTGGTCAATAAAGTTGCTTATAATGGGGAACAATCACCAAATGCTCACTGCCAAGATCAGTAACTACTCATTAGTGTAATTTCACCCCATAAATCTCGATGTCATTGTTATTTGGCAAGGATTTGTATTCAATCTCAATTACACTGATTGCTGAATAAATACCACAAACATTTTTTTCGTCGAAGTATGGGTTTAACTGCAGCTTCACATAAGGAATCTAAAATGGTGTGTTTGCAAGTACTGACAAATTTTGCATTCCAATTTTCTAAATCTTATTGCCTATGAAAAAGCAGGGAACCCTTAGTGCTTAGGGAAGGGTATATTCTGTTTTAGCGTCTGTTGGTTCCCAATCACGTTTTGTGGTTAAATGTAAAATTGCACTATTTCTGGGAAAATGTTCCTTGTAACACAAGCAATATGTGGAGTTCTGCAGCGTATTGGTTAGAGCATGTCTGAGTCGATCGGCGGATCGCTTTCCGGGGTAATCCCTCAACAAAATTAATTAAAACAATGATAATAATGTGGTCACTCAATTCCACAATTGTTTGTGGGACCCTGATATATGCAATTGGCTGCTGCGTTTCGTCCACAAAATATACAGTCAATTCACTTTCAAGCTCCTCAAGTCGTCTTCAAATCCCTTCATGCCCTGGCACCTCCCTCCCTCTCCAGCCTCCTGTATGTCCCTCGTGCCCTCCATCCCACCATCGGTGGCTGCGCTTTCAGCCACTATGCCCCCAAACTCTGGAACATTCTTCCTCTATCTCTCCACTCTGCCCCTTCCTTTCCCATCTTCAGATCACGCCTGAAGACCTTTCTCTTCGACCATGCTGCGATCACCTCCCTCCTCCATCTGGCTCAGCATCGTGCTCTACCACTGTCAAGTCCTCTGGGACACTACCCTGTGTGAGGGGTGTTATATAAATGCAAGTTATTGTATTCTGTGAAGAGTCTCAATGACGCAATAATAATAATCCTTGCATTTGATATAGCGTCTTACCACATCTTCGAGACATCTCAAAGCACTTCAGCTACTCCATATCAAATACAGATAAGGCTCTATATCAAATGCATGGTTTATTATTATCATATCCGGTTCAAGCAACATACAGCATTTGAAGATGTATTCAAACCTTTGAAACCATACAAGTCTTTTCGATAAACGAAAGAGATTGTCTTCAATTTATAATGATCATGATGGGGCAGGTGTTGAAATGCACTAATACTGGACAAGAGCATTGCATCCTCTAATTCATTTGAGCAATCCTTTCACAGTCATGATTCGTGACTGCAACTGAAGCGCATTTTAACTCAGGAACTGGAGGAGAAAAAAAATCACAACTTTATTGTGGAGGCGTTCTGACGCAAATCATCTCCTTCCTGAGATACTATTTTCAGAATGCTTTTCTCTCTAGCAAACAAGAGTTGAAGATAGCTTCTAACAATATTAACTCCTATGTGTCCACAGAGGAAAATATATGGCAAGGACAAATGGCTTTTACAAAATGAATCAAGTTGTGGCAAACATTTGCAAGCACTGCAAATGATTCAAATGGTTCATTTCATGTAGATGTCAATCCTACTCAGTTGGTAACACTCCCACCTGAGTCACAAGATTGCAACTTCAAGCTCCACATCAGGACTTATGGTCTAAGGCGACACTCCACTACATTGTCGGATAAGTCATCAAACTGAGGTCCCATCTGCCTCTTCAGGTGGGCATTAAAAATCCCATTGCACAATTCAAAAAGAGAAGGAAGTTTCTCCTGGTGTCATGGCCAAAAATCTCCCAGATAAAATTGTTCATTTACTTCATGTCTGTTTGTGGGACATTGCCATGTGCAAATTGACTTCTGCGTTCACCTGCAACATAAACAGGCACGATGTTTTGAGATGTCTCAATGACATGATAAGGATGCTATACCAAATGCAAAGATTATTATGATTCCTAGCTTATTCATCAGCTCAGTGCCTAACTGATGCTTAGGGATGTGCAATACTCAATCAACCAAGAACTTTAGGGGTTCAAATCACGATCTGTGCAGAGTTAACATATCTCAGCTGGAACGCTGCACATGACCACAGTGCCCTTGGGCTTGGAAAAATC